GGATATGGGAGTTGTATATATGCTTGCCAAGCTTAAACCCATACAATTTAGTGAACTATCACTTGAGACAGACCCAGAACCCCACTCCTAACCAAAGAAGACAAGAGAGAGACACAAATGTGACCTTGTCGATGATGCCACTGAGCGAAGGATGTGGTGGCGGTGGCAACTGAAGCAAAAGGGGTGGCTATGTCCAGACTGGCTAGAGGACGCATTAGAAGGAAGGCGCAACCAGTCGAGCTCCCAAAGGCGTGGAGAGTCGTACCACCGAGGATCGATCCCAACGAAAGTCCCCGTACGATGATCTTGAACACATCAAGAGTTAGAATCCTGAATAACACGACAACCCAAGTTAGTAAAGTTGACCAACAGACAGAGGTTTTGCAGTCATTTAGGAACATAAGAAACAACAGGAATGAAAAGAAGATGCGAAAAGAATCTCTCATGTTGCAAGAGGAAGAGAAGTGCCATCCTGTCTGAAGGGGAAGTGGAGAAGGCACAAAGTTGACCACACAAAAGGTTATGTGTGGTGTCATATGGAAGGAGGGCCCAGAATCAAGAATCCAGGGCAAAGATGTACCCGACGAAGAGTGTGATGGTGGACCAGACGTTTGACCAGCAGAGCTTGAGGATGGTGCAGAAGCAACAAGGTGGCGCAGCAAGGTGAGCATTTCCTCGTGAACCTTCTCAAGGGAGCCCTCATGAGAATCAGAGGAGCTACCTGAGTCCTTGTGAGGACGGCCACCACAGCGACCCTGTCTCTTCCTCTTAATGCACTCCATGATCATGTGACCATCCTGCTTCCAGTAGGTGCTGAAGGCTCTATTGGAGGCCGTTGCCACCGGTGTAGGAGAAGGCCCACCTTGCAGCGGTGGGGTAGTGCGGGCAGCCAGGACTGCTGAAGAGACGACAACAAGCCCGTGCTGCGTAGATGCAGCTCCTCAGAGCGCACCTCAGCAAGGTCCTCCATAGTAGAGAGCCGAGGATGGCATGCCAACAGCGGAGCATGACTCTGCTTAAACTCCGGTCGGAGGCAAGTGTGGAAGTCGTAGAGGTGACAAACCTCCAGCTTTAGTAGTTACTCTTGACGAACAACAAAGAGATACATGGCATCCCCCGTAGATTTGTAGCGATGGTGAAGGCGCTCCCACATCTGATACACAGCGATAAGGGCCACCACATCCATGGTGATATTGACATCCATGCGCTGTTCACCAAGATGAGGCTCGAGCATCATCATTTGTCCATTGCATGTACAGGTGGAGTTGATTCTGGTACTCTTCAGTGGCCTCCTTAAAGGGACCGAGCACCTCACATTGCTTTGTATTATCCGCATCAACATTGAAGACCACCTCAGCCGGAGGAGTGGGTAGCAGAGGACAGGGCAGAAAAGCTGTGAGGCGCTCCTAGACCAGCTGATCCCTCATGTGCAGCTTCGTGTGCTGCACCCAGTCCCTGTAGTTCTGTCTGTCGAAGATAACAGGACATCAGGGATCAGGGGTCTGGGACAGCTCCGGTGGTGGTGGGGGTGCCATTCTAGCAGGTCTTGAAACAGCTGTGACCTGGACCGTCAAGGGCTTGAAACAGGTCTTGAAACAGGTCTTGAAACAGCTGTGACCTGGACCGTCAAGGGCTTGATGGCGACAAAATAGATGTTAAGGCGGCTGGTGGCGCCGGCTGGGAAGGACGGTGCCAGGGCCTAGAATGGCATCAACCTGTCCAGAGGCATCCTTGGCCTAGAAGGAAGAGGGGATAAGCTTGATGGAGAGAGGGATGGTGGTGGTGACCAACTCCTCCGGCTGAGGTGGTCTTCAATGTTGATGCGGATAATACCAAGCAATATGGTAACTACACACACAACACAATCCTGCTCCAACCACACGATGCTTGAAGCTTGGAGGATGCGGTGTCCTCTAATCAGGATTGACATCACACACGTGCCCTCTAGAGGCTTCATTGTAATATTTTCTTTTTCTCAGGCATGTGATTTTGTATGATGTGGTTGTAACACTGTGGGCTTTTGCCCACTTCCATATACAATATATTAGGATGGACGTTTATGAAACAACTACAACAACAACCTATGACTTAAGGATCAGCTTACCTAAAATGGATTAGAAGTGTGTAGAATAATTCAAAATTAATTTGTCTTCTGATTTTATTTATTGTTCTTCATCAGTATGGTTGCTTTTCGTACTTGTTCTTTCGATGAATTTTACAATTTATTTGATGCAACATTAGTGTTCATCAACTATCAATACAGCAATACCCAAAGGTTTATCATTTAAAACCTTGAAAATTACAGATGTGGACTTCACAGTAGGTTGACAATTTTGAATAATAAAATTCTGCAAAATTACAAAAGCTTACTTAAGTCTGTAAAATTGTTGTTCTTTCCATCTTGTATACCAAAATATGACAATTTGAGAATAACAACAACAACAACAACAACAACAACAACAACAACAACAACAACAACAACAACGAAGCCTTTAGTCCCAAACAAGTTGGGGTAGGCTAGAGGTGAAACCCATCAGATCTCGCGACCAACTCATGGTTCTGGCACATGGATAGCAGCTTCCACGCAGCCCTGTCCATAGCTAGTTCTTTGGTGATATTCCAGTCCTTCAGATCTCTTTACGGACTCGTCCCATGTCAAATTCGGTCTACCCCGACCTCTCTTGACATTACCCGCACGCTTTAGCCGTCTGCTATGCACTGGAGCTTTTGGAGGCCTGCGCTGAATATGCCCAAACCATCATTCCGGACGATGTTGGACAAGCTTCTCTTCAATTGGTGCTACCCCAACTCTATCTCGTATATCATCATTCCAGACTCGATCCTTCCTCGTGTGGCCACACATCCACCTCAACATGCGCATCTCTGCCACACCTAACTGTTGAACATGTCGCCTTTTAGTTGGCCAACACTAAGCGCAACATTGCGGGTTGAACGTCGTCCTGTAGAACTTGCCTTTTAGCTTTTGTGGCACTCTCTTGTCAAAGAGAATGCCAGAAGCTTGGCGCCACTTCATCTATCTGGCTTTGATGCGATGATTCACATCTTCATCAATACCAACATCCTTCAGCAGCATCCCAAATATCAAAATGTGTCCTTTTGAGGCACCACCTGTCCATCCAGGCTAACCTCCTCCTCGCGCCTAGTAGTACTGAAACCGCACCTCATGTACTCAGTTTTAGTTCTACTAAGCCTAAAACCTTTCGATTCCAAGGTTTGTCTCCGTAACTCTAACTTCCTATTGACCACGTCCGACTATTATCAACTAGCACCACATTATCCGCAAAGAGCATACACCATGGGATATCTCTTTGTATATCCCTTGTGACCTCATCCATCACCAAGGCAAAAAGATAAGGGCTCAAAGCTGACCCCATTTGAGAATAATAAATTCTGCAAAATTACAAAAGCTTAGTTAAGTCTGTAAAATTGTTGTTTTTTGCGTCTTGTATACCAAAATACGAAATGTAGAGTGAAGAGTATCTGAAATGGAACTGAAGAAAAGAAAGAATTCCATTTATTTTGATGTTATCCATCTCTGTGGTACCCTCCTTGCTCTATGAAGAGCTTACAGCGTGAGTAGAATACTCAGCATGGGATGCATCTTCCACATTTTGCATGTATACGTATTTTGAGAACCTTTCTTGGCATTCATTTATCAAATTTGAATGCCATTTATGGTAACGTCAGAATTGAATAACGATGTCTTTATTGTGTACAAAGAAGTGTAGTAGGTATGCATATTATTATAACATGTGCATTAAAAGATGGAACATAGCGCATTTGCTGCTCCGATGAATGACATGCTCACGTACTGATCTTTGTAAGTGCATGACCTATGTCCTTGCAAAGTTTCAAAAGTACACTTAATCCTGCTGAATTTCTGCTTACCTTAGTTGCTTACTGCCCCACGTCGTATGTTTCCTGTTCCTTCCTCATATAGGGTCCATTTGGTTTTCTGGATGATGAGGGATGTGTTTGGATCATCCAAGTTTTCGACTCTCATACACCCGTTTGGTTATGAGTACTGGGTGGATGATGAACCTGCCAGGCTGTGGGAATATTACCTCCAACCAAAATGTCCTGTCTGAACAATTTGTAATATTATTTACCTAACAGCAGTAGTTGAACAATTTGTTGATTGTCTTGATTGTTTGCTGTGCTTAAGGCCAGTTTTGTTTTCTTAGCAGCCCTAACGCAGCTATTACTTGTACCCCTCCATTTTTGTATGCAAGGCCACTTCGTTTTCGTGTCAAACTTTGACTTATAATTTTGGTCAAGAAAATATGGGTTGTATGTCATAACAAATATATCATCGGAAAGTCTTTCAAATGTGAATCCAATGGCATATGTTTTATGGCATATAACTCTCATTTTGTTGATAAAATTAACAGTCAAAGTTAGACATAAAAATATGAAGTGGCCTTGTATTTGTAGATGGAGGGAGTATGTTTTTTCTAGTACGTATCCAGGGCTCCAGGCATACAAGGAAATGTCCTCATGCAACTCAGACAGATGTAATGTGTGGGTTACAGTGTG